GAGGACTCTGCAGTTTCATGTAAAGCACATGTCCAGCTTTGGGGGAATGAAGGCTTGAGTTATCGTTATGAAGATCTCTTGCTCCAAATGTCCCTGGCTGGCCTCTACCTGCACATCTAGCAAGAGTTGTGAATCCAGAACTCCCTAACTTGCTCCTTTGGGGGAATGCAAACCTGTCCGGAATTGAAACAGGAGCTGACAGAGAGCCAGATGATTTTTGGACAGTATCTTCATCTTGCAAGGGTTTTGTTTTCTTCCTTTGTTCCATCCAGAGCAGTTGGATGACCTGGAGTGGAAACGTGTAACTGGCTTTTAATTGACAGATGACCTCTGCCAGTGAATTCATGTAGTAGTTTAAAACATGGAAGGGACAGTTGGGCCCTGCATCTCCTCTGAGGATGGACCACCTAGCTGACCTTTCTGACTGACTGCAAGGAGCAAAACGGCTGCAAAGTAATGCCATCAGCCCTTGTGGGAGGTCCAGACTGCTGTGACTGCTGGTATCAAATACTGCAGAGAGGATGAAAAGTTTGTTGTGGGAAAAATGCCCACTTAAGTAAGGAACCGAAGCCTTTGGAGGCAGATGCAACGAAGCATCTTTTCTTGGCCTGCACAACCACAGTGATCACTGGGCTCTTTGCCAAGGGAACGCAGAAGACTCCCGAAGCTCGCAAGGTTACAGGCTGTACACCCTCTGAGGTGATACACAGGACATACAAAAGTGGTATACATTATAACACAACGTTTACTGCAGGAACCTGGATCTGATAACAACAATTTGGGGTGACCCCACTGTGGGCTGACCCGGCGCCTCTACGTTCTGCTCTTCTAAGGAGGCTCCAAGCCTGCCCTTTCTACTGATACTAGCACCTTCGAACATAAACAATGTCCTTTATTGTGCCCATATATTGACTCTCTGCACAACCTGGTTTTTCTTATCTGCCTCCTTCCCCTCCAGGGTCATCCGGCAGTTTCAGTTTGCCCAGTCTGCCTAATATGCACTTCAGAATCATACATGCAAGGATACAAGATTATTTGTCCCCTACAGGTTGCACTCCCCATATGCCGGTCCTGATTCCACCAAAGCAATCTGTGCACTTTCCATCTTGTGTCCAGGCTTGCAGCCTAACTGAAAGAGATTCTGACAATCTGCTTCATCCAGGTCACTCTGTAGCTGACATTCCACCACCTTCTCCACACGTTTTCCAGAAAGGGAAGCTGGAGGCAAGGCAGAAGTTGCCAGGATGGTTGGACCCATAATGAATTTCTAGGGGGCACACAATTGCTTCCTTTAAGATAACTGAAATGCCTTTTTCCCAAAGTCCACCCAATCACCCCACCTCCAGCAGCTCAGAGGTGGGGCATGGATCTAGCTGCAAGGGGTCATAACTCAGGCCACAGGATGCCCTCTCCACTTCATGCATCCTTCCCTCAATCAAGTTATGGAAGAACAAGTCAGCCCAGCCTAAAGTTTCTGTGAGGTATGGGTGGAACTGACACATGAGAAACAAGTCTGCTTGCCTTGCTGTTAGCATGCGAGCCCCTTTGGTAATCTTCAGACATTGCATAGCCCTCGCCTCGCCCCCTCCCCCCCCCCCCCCCTTCCCCTTCCAACTGGAATGATGCTGGGAGCTGGTGATGCAGTGATGGCTTTATGAGAAGGTTTGTGGCTTAAGGAAGGATAACCCATAACCTGTCCTCGATCTGAAGTGCAGGGGAGGGGGGTTTCATTTACTGGATTGTACCTGAGGTTCCCCCAAGACCACGGGGAAGGGATACTTGATAGAACTCACTCCCAAGATCTCTAGGAAGTTTTCCCTTTGTGGGACTGGTGGGGTCACCTTCTTTTTTTCCTCTCCTTTAGAAGTGAAGGCTGTAACTTTCCAACCTCTGGCACAGCGACATTGTCCATTTGCTGATGGTCTCTTCCTGGAACCAGCCACCCATAAAGTCAGTGGCCAGCACACGTTTCTGAGCTTTGCCTCCCAGCCTGGACCTCAGAAGAATAAACCACTGGTACTGAATTCAGAATGTGCCATAGTAGCAAGAAGCCCAGGGGTGGGGGAGGCTGAGACCCCAGTTTCCCAAGGTGACAGAGAGGTCTCTGAGGTCACACCTGAGGGGAAACCTCATTCTATGCTTCATAAAGAGAATGCACT